ACACAAAACAGAAACTCACTCACTCTCAACACTCCCCCTCAACTGCCTTCCTCTGCTCCGCCTCAGCCGTCGAAGTTCCCACCAGTCGTGGCAGGTGCTGCTCGAAGGTCTGCTTGTCTAGTGCCTTTGTCAGCGCGTCGGCAACCATCTGCGTGCCGGGACAGTGCTGCAGCACAATGGTTCCGTCGGCGATGAGCTCCCGCACGAAGTGGTGGCGTACCCGGATGTGCTTCGTGCGCGGCTTGGTGACGTGGTCGTTGCCGATGGCGATGGCCGCCTGGTTATCTGTCAGCATCTTGGTGGCTCCAGCCTCGGGCTCGTCGAGGTCCATGAGCAGCTGCCGCAGGAAGACGACATCCTGCGCTGCAGCGGAGATGGCCATGTACTCGGCCTCGGCGGTGCTCAGCGCAACCGTGGGTTGCAGCCGGCTGCTCCAAGACACAAGACAGCCGTTGATGTAGCAGGTGAAGCCCGTCGTGGAGCGGCCCGTCAGCTGGTCCGTGCCGAAGCTGGCATCGCTGTAGCACACCAGGTCCAGCGGTTGGTCCTTGCGCGTGCCGCTGCGTCGCTTGAAGAGGAGGCCGTGCTCGCTCGTCGCCTTCAGGTACCGCACGACGTGCTTGGCTGCCTGCCAGTGGACCGTCGTGTAACGGTCCATGTAACGGCAGAGCAGCCCGCACGCGAAGCTGACGTCTGGTCTCGTGCGGTTGGCCAGGTACAGGAGCGAGCCGACGAGGTTGCGGAAAGGCAAGCGTCGGTCGGGCTGCTCGCTGATGCTGGAGGCGTCGATGCCAACACGCATGGGCGTGGACACGCTGGCTGCCGCTGCCAGGTTGTAGTCGTTGACGATGTCGTTGATGGCCTGTGTCTGCGCAATGTGCAACACCCCGTCAGCTGGTGACGTCAGGTGAAGGCCCAGGTACCAGGTGAGCGGGCCCAGGTCCTCTGCCTCGAAGCTCTCCTTGATCTGCTGCTTGCAGGCACGGATGTGGCGCTCGCTGCTGCCGCTGATGATGAGGTCGTCGACGTACGTGATGATCCATGTGCGCTGTCCGTCGTCGTGGAGCTTGGTGAAGAGGCAAGCGTCGACGTTGCTTTGCGCCCATCCGTTGGTCTTGAGGAAGGTGTGCAGCTTCTTGGCCCATGCACGGCCAGCTTGCTTGAGGCCGTAGAGCGGCTTGAGCAGCCGGCACACCTTGCCCGCGTAGCGTTGAGCGCCGTCGCCGATGTCGGTGAAGTGCGGCGGCAGCTCCATGTACAGCTCCTCCTTGAGATCAGCCTGCAGGTAAGCCGACTTGAAGTCGAGCTGGTGCAGCTGGTGCTGTCGTTGCAGGGAGACGGCGAGCACAGTGAGGATGGTCTTGGCTGCTGGTGTTGGGGCGTAGGTCTGGTCGAAGTCGATGCCTGGTCGTTGGCTGAAGCCCTTGGCGACCCAGCGTGCCTTGAAGCGCGTCGGCGCGCCCTCAGCATCACGCTTCACCTTGAAGACCAAGCGTGACTTGAGAGGCGTGTGCTGCCGTGGCACGACGCTGCGTGGGATGAGCTTGATGACGCCGTTGCGCTCCATGGCCCCGATCTCCTCCAAGCATGCCTGAGTCCACTGCTTGCGTTGCTGGCTCTTGAGTGCCTGCTTGATGCTTGCAGGCTCCGTGAGGCTGGTGTCGTCACTGCTGCTTGCTGTGAACGCGCCTGCCTCGGTGTCGCTTGCATCTGTTGTGTCTGGATCGTAGTTGGCGTCGTTGGTGTCGCTGCTGCTGTCGTCGTCAAAGTCCGTGAGCAGGAAGTCTGTCTCGACATCATCGTCCTGGTCCTCGTCGATGTGAACTGTTGGTTGCTCACCGTCAGTGGTGCTGTTGCTGCTGTCACGTGCACTGGGAAGCTGGAGCATGGACGATGTCGTGGATGTCTGCACTTGCTCCTCCCCCTCATCCACGACATCATCGGCCTTGGAGAAGGGAAGGAAGCGGACGTGGATGGAGGACACAACGGTGTTTGTGTCTGCGAAGTGGACGAGGTGGCTGTTGCTGCTGCTGTTGTGGCCGACGTAGATGCCTCGACGACCCTTGGGCTGCAGGCGACCGCGCTGTGTGCTGATGTGGACGACGGCCGGCTGCCCGAAGACGTGCAGCTGCGGCACGTGCTTGGGCAGCGAGCCCGTGACAATCTGCAGCGGTGTCTTGCCGTGGAGGGAAGGGCGAGGCATGTTGTTGAGGATGTGGAGGGCGTGGTTGCAGGCGAGGCTCCAGTACGATGCGTCAAGGCCTGCACCCGTGATCATGGCTCGCACCATGTCGGAGAGGGTGCGCACCTGTCGCTCGACGATGCCGTTCTGCGCCTGGTTGTACGGCGGGGACTGCTGGTGCTGCTTCAGGTGCTTCTTGACGATGGCCTGGAAGTCAGCTCGGAGGAAGATTGTAGAAACACGACAGGTGGTGTGTGTGTTTACTGTAGGCAAACGCAACAACCAAGAACACAAGAAGAATGAACAAGCACAACAAGCTGCTGCCAAATCAACTCGGGCAGCACGCTCAAACAAACACTAGACAAGTGCACACACAGTCAACAGAACTGCCAAGGCGACATGGGCAGAGAGTGCACGAACACAAACAATCTAAACAACGAACAGCATGCATACATGCGCGCAGAGCAATGCTAGGCATGGCATGAATGCTTGCAGGCAAGCATACACAACAGACAACACTTCACAACACTGCATGGCACGCACACATGGCATTTGCCAAGCATGACGGGCATGCACACACACATGGCACACATGACACACAACTCACGTGTGCAGGGGAAGGAGGAGAGGAGAGGCAGTTGGCACACATGCATTGTTGAGACACGACAGGTGGTGTGTGTGTTTACTGTAGGCAAACGCAACAAACAAGAACACAAGAAGAATGAACAAGCACAACAAGCTGCTGCCAAATCAACTCGGGCAGCACGCTCAAACGAATACAAGACAAGTGCACACGGTCAATGACGCTGCCAAGGCGACATGGGCAGAGTGTGCACGAACACAAACAATCTAAACAATGAGCAGCATGCATACATGCGCGCAGAGCAGTGCTAGGCATGGCATGAATGCTTGCAGGCAAGCATACACAACAGACAACACTTCACAACACTGCATGGCACGCAGGCATGGCATTTGCCAAGCATAACGGGCATGCACACACACACATGGCACACAACTCACGTGTGTAGGGGAAGCAGGAGAGGAGAGGCAGTTGGCACACATGCATACCAGCAGAGAGGAAGGAATGTTTGCAAACGGAAAAACCACAAAGCAGGTGTTGTTGGCAAACAAGACAAAACCACACGCGAAGGCAAATTAGGAAGGACTTAACACAGAACAGAAACTCACTGAATCTCAACACTCCCCCTCAACTGCCTTCCTCTGCTCCGTCTCAGCCGTCGAGGTTCCCACCAGTCGTGGCAGGTGCTGCTCGAAGGTCTGCTTGTCCAGTGCCTTGGTCAGCGCGTCGGCAACCATCTGCGTGCCGGGACAGTGCTGCAGCACAATGGTTCCGTCAGCGATGAGCTCCCGCACGAAGTGGTGGCGTACCCGGATGTGCTTCGTGCGCGGCTTGGTGACGTGGTCGTTACCGATGGCGATGGCCGCCTGGTTATCTGTCAGCATCTTGGTGGCTCCAGCCTCGGGCTCGTCAAGGTCCATGAGCAGCTGCCGCAGGAAGACGACGTCCTGCGCTGCAGCGGAGATGGCCATGTACTCGGCCTCGGCGGTGCTCAGCGCAACTGTGGGTTGCAGCCGGCTGCTCCAAGACACAAGACAGCCGTTGATGTAGCAGGTGAAGCCCGTCGTGGAGCGGCCCGTCAGCTGGTCTGTTCCGAAGCTGGCATCGCTGTAGCACACAAGGTCCAGCGGCTGGTCTTTGCACGTGCCGCTGCGTCGCTTGAAGAGGAGGCCGTGCTCGCTCGTCGCCTTCAGGTACCGCACGACGTGCTTGGCTGCCTGCCAGTGGACCGTCGTGTAACGGTCCATGTAACGGGCAGAGCAGTCCGCACG